CTTTCCCAGCAGCACTTCCTCTTACCTTGAAGCTGACCTAATTCTATAAATAAAATATTTCTTTTCTCTGAGGTGGCAGGTGTAAAACACGGTATTCTGTGCCTAAAGGATCTTGTCCATTATTGCCCACTCTTAAATCAGAATTGAGACAATTCACCAGGAATATTTTTTCTCTAATCTTCCATTTTGCTGGCAATTAAGTCTTTACAATGGACCCCCTAAAAAGATCAATTGTGGATGCAATTTTACTTTTATTTTTAGGTGTATCTGAGTCAACTACAACTCACAGTACCCCTACAAAGAGTAGAACCCTACCCTATTCTGTGCCATCCTGATCATTTCTCACATACTGAGCCTGTTGTTAAAATCACTATCTTCTTCAAAGTCTTCCTCTCTGGACTGATCCTTTACCTTTCCAAGCATGAAAGGTGACCAGAATAACCTGTCCTGTCACCATCCTAGAATCAACTGGTAATAAAATGGCATGTGCCTTTGACCAATCATGAAGTTCCATCTATGTGCAAGCCACTTATCCCTGACAAATTCTCACTTCTAGATATTCCACCTTTAACTCCTCTGGTTTCAGCTAAATAAGAATTTTGCAGCCTTTATTTAGTGCTCCAACAGTGAGTACAAGAATGTATCCTTTCTTGTGCAAGTGTTGTCATTTTCACTCTGTGACAATGGATTTTCCCAGTCCACGCTGTCCTGCTGTCCTTCAACAACCATTTCTGCTTTTATTGAAGCCTATTCTGTGATGCTGCACTGTTTTATTTGGGGAATGACTTTAAAAACCACCAACACAGCATATTTCATGTCTCCCTGTGACAGATTTTGCAGAATTCTATCATTCAAAACCCAGCCTCATTTCTGTCACCAAGTCCCTATTTTCTGACTACTGATCCTTCTCCCTGGTTCCCAACATTCACATTCAAGTCACCTATCATTATTAATGTAGCAGGGAAACACTGCATAGTTAAAAACCAGTAAAGGAATGTCAGGGATGCATCCTGCCTCCATACCTTTTCAATCTATATACAGAACAGATCATTCAGAAGGTGAAGAGGAATGCGGCATCAGTAAAATGCATTACGCAGATGACACAACCTTTCTTGCTAAAACTGAGGAGGACCTGAAGTGCTTGCCACAGAAAGTCAAAACTATAGTCTTCAATATGGATTGAAGCTCAACATCAAGACGACAAAAATTCTCACCACTGGGCCCACTGGCACCATCATAATACATGGAGAAGCAATTGAGGTTAACAATTACAGTCTACTTGCTCAATAATCAACACTCTTGGCACAAGCAGTAAGGAAAACAAAAGATAAATTGTACTGCGAAAATCTGCTGTCAGGGACATCTCCAGCATACTGAAAAGCAACAATGTCATTCTAGAAATTAAGATGCACCTAATCCAGTCCATGGTCTTCACAATTACTTGCTATGCAACAGAGATCTGGACAAGGACTAAGGATGACCAAAGAAGAACTGATGCCTTCAAGTTGTGGTGCTGAAGAAGAGTCTTGAACATACCATGGATGGCCAAGAAAACAAATAGATCTGTCGTGGAGAAGGAGAGTTTCTCCAAAGTTTCTCCATGGAGGCTAGGATATTGAGCTCTGTCTCATATACTTTGGACATGTGGCCAGGAGAGACCAGTCCTTAGAAAAGGACATCATGCTAGAGGGACATAATGGTGGAGGGACAGCACAGGAGAGGAAGACCCCAGATGAGATGAATTGATACATTAACTGAGATAGTGATGGTTGGTTTGTCAGTTAATGAGACTGGCTCAGGACAGGGCAAGGTTCAGAGCTGCTGTACATAAGGTCATTATGGGCCACATGCGATGGCACATAATAACAACATGATAGTCAGAAAACCCCATTTCCCTCATGCCTAGGATCTTCTACAAAACTGTTTAAAACCTCTCTTTTTTTCTTCTCTACATTATATTCAAATATTCCTTTTTAAAATGTCTAACATTGAAGTGTATGCAGAATGGCTTGACTATCAAAATGTTTACAAAAAGTAGACAAAGAAAATCCACCTTCTTTTCAGAAGTTTCTAAGGATTTATTACTTCAAAAATATTTTGCTTAAAAAGTTTGATGAATTAATCAACTTATTAAGTATTGTACCTTATAGAATTCAGCATTGCAGAATGGCAGACGTGTTGTTGAACATAAACTCACGGCTGTCGAGTCAGTTCTGCTCAGTGACCCTCCACCAAATTTTTTACATTATAAATTGGTAAATCACGTGTCTGCCTGTCTTTCTCCTCCAGAGCCACTGGTAGACTCAAACTACCAGAGATCCACAACTTTGGGTTAACAGTACAACTCGCTAGATTGTATAACTCAAGCTCACTCATTCTGAACCTCTTTCAGTATGGGTCATGGTGAAATAAACAGCCATGATAGATAAATGTATAAGGTACCACAACCTCTCCCACAAAAAAAGCACATACTGAGGCTGTTGATATGCAATGCAGCACCTCAAAGAATTAAGAGGTCCTCAGTTCAGGTCCATTTCACGTAACTCCTCAGTTATTGGTCTAATAATTGTGTCTGGTGCTTCCACTGCACCTTTTAGTTTCTAGTATGCGCTTAGCTCTTAAAAGGCTTGCAAGTGGCCAGTCAGGGCACAAGTGCTCTCTACTCACCTGGAGGAACAGGGAAAATAATACTGGGAGCAGGAGGAAGAAATGGCATGTGTGACTAATTAACTCCAAGATCAACTACTTCCTTTGACATAGGACCAGAAGTGGATGGTGACCATTTTACCATCATTGATTGAACATTTTCAGATTCTATAAAAAAATTCCAATCAAAGGGAAAATGTATAACAGAAGGTTGAATCCTCATAGAATCCACCATATTCTGGTCTCAGAAGCAAGATGAATCCATCAAACTACTCCCTGAAATCACCTTAAAACCAAACAATAATTTCGCTAAGTAGTAAACAGTATCTTCCTTAAACACTATAAAATTGACAATAGCAACGTGAAAGGTCAGATAGGAAATTTAGGGGGCAGTGAGAATTAATGAGAAGGAACATGTCGGAAAATTGTAAAAATGGCTACTAAACTTGGAAGAATGTAACTAATGGCACTGAATAATATGGAAAAATGGCTCATTTCAAGTATGTAGCCCCCATTTTGCTGGCAAACACCATACTATTTAGAAGCTATTTACCAGACAAAGTCCTTAAACTCGCACACCTAATTTCACTTTCCCGAGTTCAGCTTATGATCTTAACATGAGGCATTTCTCTCTTATCACTGACTAAAAGGGGCCACCAGAAAACAAAAGAGGGTCATTGGCATATTAGAACTCTGGTCTTGAGCATTACAAATCCATTTCATTCCACCTACTTGTTCATATTAAAGATCTGACTACACTAGACTAGAAATAATTATAACCTTCCTTCCACAGATGTCACAGCAAACTGCATCTAATAATGCTAAAACAGGCTTTTCTTTTTTCCTCTTAAACTGGGGGAGGGGGCAGAAACCTATTGCAATAGGGTAATTAGACTAGAACTAAGTCTGAGCTTAATTCTGCTGAAACGAGAACAAAACTCTTAAAAGGTTTGTGTGGGTTGGTGGGAAGATAAGGAAAGATATTAAGGGAGTGTTGACTTTTTTTTTTTTTTAATTTTATTATTTTTGTGTGTCTGTGTACTGTCAAATCAGATCTGACTGGTACAGGAGGAGATTGTCCCTCCTTTCCCGGCAGAGCATCTGGTGGATTCAAACCATGCATCTCTGGGATTGCAGTGCAGCTTCTTGCCACTAGGCCACCAGAGCTCCCAAAGGGAGTGTTGACTTTTGAAGTAACTGAATTACTGAATGCAGTATGTGTCATTAGATCCCAAATGGCACCCTTTATTCCCCGTGATTTGACTACCTGAATTCCATAAGGAATAAGGAGAAGGGAGTTTATGGTTTGTTTAAGGTGGATCCGAGTAACATGCCAATCAAGGGTTACCTGGAATGAGAAAGGAGTAAAAATTAATAAACAGCTAATACGCAAACTCACTGCTGACTGTCCAGTGGGTTTCTAAGACATTGGAGATAGAGCTCACGTTTTCTCTCGGAGCCACAGGTGAATTCAAACCAGCAGAGATTCAAACCTTTGGACTACATCACCAAAGCTTCCTGTAACCTCTAGACAATAGACACAGATTAATATGGGTGAAGGGAACAGCAATATCCAAAAAAGGGATGATTAGCATAGTATCATTAAAGAAAGGGAAGACAGATACATAAAGGGATTCATGGAAATCAGAAGTACAGGGAGGAAGCAGACAAAGTGCAATTACATTGTAAGTACTGTAATTAATGTACAGAATAAAGTATTGTAATTAATGTACAGAATAAAATATGTACGTCTGGTTGAATAAAAAATCAATTTGTCTTACTGCATAGTGCCACTGTTGTAGAACAGGACTGATAACAGGGTTGGGGTGAGACTGAGAAAAACTGGATAAATTATGTGTACTGCATTGAAACAGATGAGGGAGAGACCAGTTTAAAAGCGATATATGATTGGATATTATGGTCATGATAAGAGTCCAGAATGATGGTTGCATAGTGAAATGTAGGGGGGTCCTGGGGGAGGAGAGTATATACCAATGAAAGAATGTTTCTTTTACTTTTCAAAGAGAAAAGCAAATTGGGGGTGAGGGGTGGGCAGGGATAAAAATGCAACAATGAATGAGTGGAAATCCAAAATCTCTGTAACCATTCATTAAAATTAATTGAAAAAAAAAAAAAACCAACAACTTGTAAATTCAATCATAACGAAAACTTTTTTTAAAGATAGAACTCACGAGGATATCTTTTTTTTCTTATTTAACATTTATTTTAATCTTAGAGAAAATAAACAGGAAACACGATTTCACTGAAAACCAACATTAAGATCTAGAGAATTCAACATCAGAGAAGCCCAGGAGAAATGCCGAAGTGCCCAGCCCGGCCCACCATGTTCAGCTGGGGGCTCAGGAGCTGTAATACTTAATGAGATTCTCATCTGTGGGTTTCAGAATTTTCCTATCAGGCATATTCACCACCCAGCCAGGAGCAAGACCAAAGAAGATCTGTCGTGGGTCCTTGCGAGCACTGAGCATTTTGAAGAGTTCATCTTTTGTGATATCAGGTAAGATGTAACCATACTTCTTGGCGAGTGCAAGTCTTGCTTCAGGAAATCTGGCAGGATCCGCCAGGTAACCACGATTCCTTGCATCAGTGTAATATGGAACCAGAGTTTCAGGAGGAAGCATTCTCTTCGGAATAGGTTTTCCACGCAGAAAGAATGGGACAGGCTTGCACAAAATTTCTACGGAAAACGCAAACAAAGAGATACAATATTGACTATGTATATAAAGACTATGTTGGATTTTATGTATTCCTTTTAAAATTATCAAGATTAAAATTCTAATCCAAGAAATCTTTTTCTTAGACTTGTCTTTTAAAAATGATTTTTCTTTTAAATGTGATTTTAACTAAAGTTTACTGAAAATATTTTCATTCATTCATCGTTGCACATTAAATAGACTTGTCTTAAGTAACTGAATTTTAAAAGGCTTCATTTTCTACAGTGTATGCTGTGAAAAGCATAATCACTCCTGCGTTACCAATGACTGTTGTTGTTATGTGCCATCAAGTTGGAACCAATTCATTGCTCACCCTCTAGCAGGTTTTCAGAGGCCGTGAATCTTAGCACAGGAAGATACTGTCCATTCTCTGGGTGTCTAAGGTTTATCATTCAAAATGTCTCTCGCAGCCAATGATTTCCTATCGACTTTGTGCTAAAGTGTTTACTGTATTAGAAAGGAGAAAGGATTAGAATGGGATACAAGCCCCACACTACTAGAGGCTTTTTTTTTTCTTGTTCTGTACCGTCAAGTCGGATCCAACTGGCACAGGAGGAGACTGCCCCTTCTTCTCCAGTGGAGCATCTGGTGGATTCAAACCATGCGCCTTAGGGACTGCATACTAGAAGTTTATATAAGTTAGTAGTACCTTCATGCTGATTCTCTTTTTTGGGATGCCTGCCTTTAGCTGATAGTCTGCAATGTTCACCAGTCTCTGCAAAACCAGCCTGAATGCTTAGAGTCACATGAGTCATTCCCCTGAAGGGGCTCAGTCTCTGGGAGACCTACCAGTGAACCACAGAACCTAGGACATAGAGGAGCAAAGGAACTGAGCCAAGAAGAGGCTGATGATGTCAGAAATCATGGAGTTATACAGTAAAGCAAGCTTTTGGGACAATGCTGACTCAACACGTCTTCTAACTAGTCTGCTATTAATCTTAATAGAATGAATTAGGAATACACCATCTTCCCCCCTCCCCCTGCCACCCGTGAAGCAACTGGTGGATGTGAATCACCTGCCTTGAGCAGGCCATGTAACTTCTTACCATTTAGCCACAGTAGGCCCCTACCTACAACTAGTGGATTTATAACCTTATACTCAATGTTTAAAAACACAAAACAAAGCATTTTCATGATATTCAGGTTAAGGTGGGTTTAGAACAACATGAATCTCCATGAAGCCCAGAGGCCACACCATTAATAGAAAAATCATAAAACTGACTAAGGTCTCCAGAATGCAAGCCAAATAACCAGAAGATTTAAACCCTAGCATGAGCCTGACCTTGTTTAAAAGGTTAGGCAGAAGCAAATTTCAGAATTTTTAAAATGAATCTTCCTAACACTAGGCAAAGAAATAGGAAATAAAGCTAAACAACAACTACCCACACACTGTAAATTGAAAGAACACTGAAAAAATCCCAGAGCAAATGAGTATTAGCAATGAGAAAGGGAAGGATACTCTAGACAGGCCATGAACAGAAATGAGAACTAACCAGGGTATATTAAGTAAGAGTCAAGACCCAGGATTACAAAAGCAGGGCCACCTAAAGCCAATGCTTGCATGAACAATCCTATATATACCTCACCTATTACAGAATGTAAATATGTATTTATTATCTGACTTTATGTTAACTCATCAAGAAATATCTTTTGACTAGACTCTATATCATTAGGAGATCCTGCTGTTTACAGTGAGTTCCCTGGTCTGGTGGATATACCACTAGTGAAGCTGACCAAAACACCTCTGTAATAAGTAGGTGATTTCTTTGCCAAGTGCATGTCTATGTGAGAATGGATTTCTTTCATATATTTAAATTAAACTACTTGCTATACATTAGAGAGCTGGACAATGACTAAGAATGACCAAAGAAGAATCAATGCCTTTGAGTTGTGGTGCAGGAAGTCTTGAACATACCATGGACTGCCAAGAAAACAAATAGGTCTGTCTTGGAGAGGGTGAGTTTCTCCAAGTTTCTCCTTGGAGGCTAGGATTTTAAAATTCCATCTCACTTATCTGAGTATGTGTCCAGAATGGACAAGTCCTTGGTGAAGGACATCATTCCTGGAAGGGTTGCAGGACAGCAAAGAAGAGGAATATCCTGGATGAGAAGGATTGACATGGTAACTGGGGCAATGTGATTAGGTGTGTCGGAGTTTGTAGGACTGGCTCAGGATTGGGCATGGTTCAGAGCTGTTGCATAAAGAGGCATTATGAGTTGCAGGTGACTCGATAACATGTAACAGTAACATCTAAAACTAAACAGATACTTGATAGATTGAGAGTTCTTTCCAACTTGCTGTTCTTATTTCCTGAGACCCTAAGGAGCCCTAAACTGTGAGATGTAGAGGCCTTGGATGAGAAAGTAGTATGCTATGAAGGCTTCATTAGTGATGTCAGCAGGATCTGCAAAAGGTGCTAGACCATCATGACAAGGTATATAAGCGGCAGGCTAAATTACCTTCGGCTGAGAAACATCATTGATCGTCAGAAGCCAAGCACTCAGTTATATATGCACGTAGAGTTAGGCTGTAAATTCTGTGTTGACACAGAGGTCCTAGACTTTCACGGATCTACACAGCCCTTGGATACTGTTTTCTCCTGGAGCTGACACTTGCAACTCTCAAGTTCACTGGTCAAAAGAGCTGTCTTCTTACAGAACTCAGCAACAGCCTTCCTAAGGACTCCATCAATATCAAGGCTCATATTCATACATCGCTAGAGGGACTTGGAGAGTTACAAGGCCTGCAGAATCTTCCAGAGAAGATGGGCCACTAACTTTTTGTGGTCCCCTCCCACAACTTAAAAGAGCCTGAATGCCAAAAAACAGGTTGCAAAAACAGCTTTGACAATCCTACTGTCTTCTATTAAGCCAGACATTAAAAAAGATTTGCAGAAAAATGAAGAGAAAGAAAGTATCTTTTGAATAGGTTTACAAAAAAGCTTCTGAAACATTTTAGATGGCATACCCTTTCCTGATAAAATAAATGAAGCCAAGTCTGAAGTCCCTGAAGGATGCCAGATGACAGGACAGAGGTTCAAATGCACCTCAAAAGAAAAGCCTGGTCACTTACTTCCCTAAGAAAACTCAACAATTAAAAACCCTACAGAGCACAGGTCTAAGCTCTCAAGCTGGTAGCCATGAGTGACAGCAACTGTTACAGACAGTAAGTGGATATAGGAGCTACAATACACCAGAATCACCTCATACAAAGACAGTCCTAGTTCCACTAACACCACCAAGTAACTATAAGAGTTGGTGAGCATTATCAGTCCATAGTCACCAACCACATGCCACCTCCCGCCCTGGTCCCGAGCCAATGCTCACCCAAATTCTTTTAACACCTAAAACACACCAGCTACAGTCATTCAATGTTCTGACAAGGGAGGAACATGTTTTTTATGACTGTTACAGTAGAGGGTAAATAAGAGATTATACACTATAATAACAATCTTCTCATCAAAAGAAAACATTTAAGTGCTAAAAATTAGATTCATACACATGAATGACAAAAATAATAATGTTGTTGTTATGTGCCATCGAGTCGCCTGCGACTCATAGCGAACCTATGTACAACAGCCCTAAACTCCGCTCTGTCCTGTGCCAATCGCACTGTCTCCGACACTCCCATCCCAATTATCCCAATCACTGAATCAATCCACCTCATAGAGGGCCTTCCTCTCCTGTGCTGTCCCTCCACCCTCCCAAGCATGATGACCCTCTCCAAGGACCGGTCTCTCCTCACAACATGTCCAAAGTATGTTAGACGGAGCCTCAGAATCCTTGCCTCCAAGGAGTCACCCGGTTTAACCCTTTCCAGGACAAATCTGTTTGTTTTCCTAGCAGTCCATGGTACCCTCAATACTCTTCTCCAGCACCACAGCTCAAAGGCATCAATTCTCATTCTATCCTCCTTGGTCATTGTCCAACTCTCTGATGCATAACAGTTGATCGCGAAGACCATGGCCTGTATCAGACGCATCTTAGTCTCTAAAGAGACACCATTGCTATTCAGCACTTTGGAGAGGGAGGTCCCTCACAGCAGACTTTTCCATTGCAATGCACCTTTTAATTTCCTGGCTGCTGGTGCCAAGACTGTTGACTATGGAGCCAAGCAAACTAAAGCTGTGTACAATCTCAATCTCTTCACCATCCATCCTGATGCTGCCAATTGGTCCAGTGGTGAGAATCTTTGTCTTCTTGACATTGAGCTTCAATCCATATTGTAGGCTGCAGTCCTTGACACTCTGCAGCAGGCAAAATTACACTACTATGAACACTGGTGTATAAGTCTCCAAGTGTGCCTCAGTTCTCATTTTCTCAGGATATATTCCAAGCAGTGGAAAACCAGGTTATATGGAATGTCAATGTTCAGCTTTCTGAGGAAGTGCCAAACAGCCACAAACAATGCATAACCCTTCCCTATCCTGCCACATTCTCTCTAATATTTATTACTTGCGGTCCTATTAAAGTTTACCACTGCTACTGGGGTGAGATGGTATCTCACTGTGGTTTTTATTTGAATCTCTCTTATTACCAGCACTTCTTCATGTGTCTGTTGGCCATAGAAGCATTATTCACCACCGCAAGAATATGGCAACAGCCCAGATGTCCAACCATAAACAAATGGATTGAGAAGTTGTGATACAATCATACAATGAAATATTACACATCACACAGAAGCAATGATTTTGTATATTACTATCTAACTTGGGATGGACTACAGAACATTATGCTGAGTGAACTAAGCCACTCCCTCAAGGACAAATACTGTATAAAACCATTATGGTAGAATGAGTATGAGGATCCAAGGGGAGGAGGGGAGGAAGCAGAGGGATGAGGATGGGGGGGGTGGGGGAATGTTAATCAGAGGGTTGCACAATTCGATGGGGGGGGATGAAGGAAATGGAAAGGTTCCTATGTGAAAAACAATGTATTTGAACTTTGTAAATCAGTATTAAAAA